CATAAATGATCTGGAAAAAGGGTGAGGTGACAAACTTTGAAGATGATACAAAATTATTCAAGGTAGTTAAGTCCAAAGCTGACTGCGGAGAGTTACAAAAGGATCTCACAAAACTGGGTCACTGGGCAACACAATGGCAGATGAAATTCAGTGTTAAGTATGAAGTAAGTCACAGTGGAAAACATAATCCCAACTATACCATACAAAATAATGGGGTCTAAATTAGCTGTTACAACTCAAGAAAGAGATCTCGGAGTCATCATGGATTGTTCTTAGAAAACAACTGTTGAATGTGTGGCAGCAGTCAAAAAAACCAAACAGAATATTAGGAACCGTTAGGAAATGAAAAGATAATAAGACAGAAAATATATAAATCCATGGTATGCCTACATATTGAATATTGCATGCAGTTCTGGTTGTTTTAAAAGTGCAATCTAGATCTAAATGTTTTTAAAATAGTCAGATCACCATTCAAGCAGAATGGTCACTGGTTTACAGTTTCTCATTGGGTTTTCACACTCCCAGTGTCACAAATGACGTTTTAGCAAGATGAGTGACTATAATACTCAGCTCAGAAATACCAATTGTAAAACTATAAAATATATGTTTATTCAAGGCTGCCATTTCTTCTTAGCCTATCAACTTGTAGATTCTTAGTACGGTTAAGATGGGTTTACTTTAGTTTTCCTTTAAAAGGGGCAACTACTACTTGTAGTTACCCTGTATTGCAGAGAACCTGTGGGATGATTGGCTTGTGTCTCCAGTTTTGGGAATGTAGTGGGATATTATTTGGGGATGGGCGTTATGTCTTCAACTAAACCATGATTGTATGTGTGCTTAAGTGAAAAAAATAGTTATGTATTTCCTCTGTTTACCTATTAAGTGTTCTGTAAAAGAACCCTGTAGTTAAGCCTGACTGGCTATTTATAGTGAAATTTTGCCCAAAGGAAGCTTACAGAATAAGCCAGTAAATGCAACTGGGCAATACTCTTATAGTACTGTGATACAGGAGGGCCAGGGAGCAGTGGTAGAGTGTTAGAGAGGAAATATATAAGCCCTAGGCTAATTAAGATTCGGTTCCCTGTTGACTAGGGAGGGTTGCTACAGGTTAACTGGAGTACCTGTTGTCAATTAAGGCCCTGTCAGGAACCTAATAAAATCCCCTGCTTCAGGCAGTCGGAGGAGGAGGAGGAGGAGGAGAAAGGACTAGGACTAGGACTAGGACTAGGACTAGGACTAGAGCTTGGAGGTGTGTTGTGAGATTTGGAAGACCAGAGAATTGAAGTAAGGGAGACCCTGCCCCAGCAGGACAGGGAGACTCCCTCCCTGCAGCATCTAAGGACCAAGGGTAACCCCACCTAAGGGGGATGAGGGTAAGAAACCCACAGGGATTGTGAGTGGCTGGGACTCAGAGCGAGGAGCAAACCCAGACCCCTCCCCCACTTCCCTCCTCTGTCACCTTCCAAGGTACTATCAGGGCCCTTGGCGCCCAAGAGCAGGGGCAAGGCGTGGCATCTTAGCACCCCCATGCCCCAAGAAAAGCACAGGACCAACCATATGAACATCGGTTATCTTGTCACAGTACGTTAAAAAAAATAGCAAAAATCATGCGTGTTCTTTGAATGGCTAGATTTGATATTAAAAATATATATGCTAAGCTTTTGTTTAAACATATTTATTGTCACTGTAGATCAAATATCTACCAAATACAAGCAAACTATGACAAATCCACACCCAATTTCCAAGAAGGAAACATTACCTAGTGAAAGTGTGGCCTCACCTAAGTGTCTATGCAATTTGAGCTTTTGTTTAAAAATAAATAAATAAAATTAAAGTTGAATGACAAGTCAGTGGGAATTGTGGGTTCTCAGCAGCTCTGAACCTCAACTGTAGGTGTCCAAAGTTTGGTATCCAAAAATTTGAGAGACCCAAATTTAGATTACACTATGGAAAATTAAGCATAAGTGTTCAGGCTTTATGCCTGTGACAGTAACCTGTAAGTAATGGAGTGCTGTCTCTGGAATCTTCTTACACACAACCTGAAACAACAGGAAGGATTCTAAGGTAGAGATCTGGGACACAGCAAACAGCTAGGCTGTGGACTAGGGAAAGAAAATTCTTATTATCTGCTGGTTATTCTGTGTCAGTGACACTATGCTGCTGTTGTTCCTGAAGCCTTGTCACCAGCTTGCCTGAGCCAGTGGGTATCTTGCAAAGTGAATTTACCTAATTTTCAGTAGTCCAGCGTCTTACTCAGGTTAGCCTGCCTGGACCTTACACTCACACTGAGTACATCAAAAAGTCCCTCAGTGACCAAAACACAAAGTGTGGCTTTGTGGGTTATGGTAGAGGGAAGATCCTTCCTTCCTTCCTCCCTCCCCTGACTTAACCATTGAACTGCCATTTGATAGAAGTAGCCAGTTTTTTTTTAATTTGACCTGCTGGGCCCTGACTGGCTGCCGCCTGTTCACCAACCCTTCCAGCTGCTGAAAGATTAAGTCTTCCTGGTTCCACCAGCTGTTAACCCTGAAGGGCCTTTCTAGGCAACCCTGGAGGTCCAAAACTCACTGTCCTTTTCTTAAAGAGCTGTCGTGTGACTGGAGGATCCTCAGAGTGGTAGATCACAAATCCACATGCTTCATAGCAGCACAGTTTGCTGCACAGGTCTTTCTAATTCTGTCCCAATCCCAGGATAATGAAAACACACTGGTTCCACTGCAAGAAGGTCTTTTGTGACCTTGGAAAAAAGGAGGTAGGATTTACCCTAAGGGAGCTGTGAAATGCCTCCATTCTTCTTCATGGGTTGGTAACAATGAATCCTGTCTATCCAAGGGCTTGTCTACACTTGAAACACTACAGCAGCACAGTTGCAGCTGCACCACCTATGTTGACAGACGGGGTTCTCCCATCGGTGTAGGTAGTCCATCTCGCTGACTGGTGATAACTAGGTCAACAGAAAGTTTTGTAGGGATTGAGATTAGTCCTCCAGCCTGTATATGCTAATAGGAAAAAAAAGAGGATCAGGATTGTGTGTGTGTGTAAAAAAACTCATTATTATTATTATTATTTATTTATATTACCCACCAATGTGTGAGGTACCTCTCAATATAGAGAAAAGAGATTGGGTGAAATTTTAGCCCCAGTGAACTCAATGGGAATTTTGCCATTGACTTTCAGTAAGGCCAGGATTTCACCCATAATCCCTGATTTTTAGGAAATTGATTTCAGACAAAATACAATAGATAAGTAACAAGATACATAGAACGAATAAGCAGAAGACTAATCAATGAATTTCTTGTGGGTATTGCAGAAGTAGTGGGTATTCCAGAGGGATTTAAATTAGGAGAGGGTAGCAGCTTCCAACTCAAGAAAGATCAGTGTTCCATATATAAAAGGAATTGTGGAAGGATGTGCACAGATATGAGGAAGACGGGCAAATGGAATGTCAAGGCTGGCATTGCTGGTGAAGCAAACTAGTCAGGGTGACATAAGAGACGATATCAGATAAGTACAGAGAAGGCAGTTATTTATAGCTGGTCTACACTTGTTTTTTTTTCAAATCAGGGTAAGCGGTACCTGGTACATGTCAGTGCTTTGTACGTACTATGGATTTGCACTGGTAGAGCTACTGTGGTATAACTTCACTGAGTGCACCCCAAAAACTCAGAAAGCAAATAAAAAGAAGCCAATACTTGCTATTTTTAAAAATCACAAGATTTTTAAACAAACCTTATGATTTTTAGAGGCTAGCCTCTTGATTTTTGAGTGTTAACAGTATGGTATCTATTTTTCCTGATTTGTGAGGATTGTCTTATTTAAAATAATAGTAATAAGATATTAAAAGGAGAGAGTCTAACACAGCTGCTCAAGCACGCTACATAGTATTTTAAAAGAGATCCGATCCAGGAAAATGACTATTAAGCAGGGCGCCTTGTATTTCACAGTTCCGTGGCCACTGGATTCACCATTGAATTAATCTCTTGCCTCAGTTATGCGCTCGATAATCTGTTTTAATTGTTTTTCAAACAAAAAAAAATCTTTCTAGCCCCCCCCTTGTTGCAAAGTGAACCTTAAAACCCTTAATTGAATGTAAAATGATGTAGTTATTGCAGGGAGCTGGAAACTATAGCTCTAAGAGATGGGAACTGCTGCATTCATCTTAGGGTATCAACTTTGAAACATAAAGATAACAATTTAAATGTCAACACTTAACTCTTTAATTTTAAGGTTGTTAATTTGCTTATTCTGAAACACCTATCTAGTGAACTGTACTCCCATTTTTCATCAGAGCCTTTCATTATTCAGATCATAATCAGCATTTTTAGTTGAAATTTTCATTCAGAGCAGTAGTTCTCAAACTTTTGTATTGGTGACCCCTTTCACATAGGAAGCCTCTGAGTGCAACCCCCCCCCTTAAATATATAAAAAATGTTTTTAATTTAAAATACCATTATAAATGCTGGATGCAAAGCAGGGTTTGGGTTGGAGGCTGACAGCTTGCGACCCTCCCATGTGATAACTGCGCGAGCCCTTGAGAACCTCGCAACCCCCAGTTTGAGAACCCATGATTTAGAGTATGTAAACAGTGCATCTTCATTATATGTATTTTAAATTTTATCCTTTGGTACACACAAATCTGCTGCTAAATGCAGAATGAAAAAGAATATTTGTAGTTATACAAGTCAAGATAATTAATTCAACCTCAGGCTTAAGGGCATAAACAGTTTTCATGCAGGGCTAAAGAAAGAATATTCCCTGCATATACAGTATTTCACACTTGTCTAGGTGCATTAAGGTGATTGGGGTTTTTTTTGTTTGTTTCCTTTGAAGCATCAGATATGACCATTGGGAGTAGCTATGGTCTGATCCAGTATGACAATTTATACGTACTTAGAAATGAAATAGTAGTTACATAACCATAATCCTGAATTTTAGAACTATTATATCCACTAGTATTTGATGTTTGTTAATTCTTGCCAATATCTTCTTTTCAATCATAGGTAATTTTCAGATGGTGGAAAATCTCTCTTAGAAGTGAATTTCGTGAAACAAAGCCTGGGGAACTTAAAGAATCTCATGAATACTTCTTGGATGATCCATCTCTTCAGAGTAAGACTTAGAAAAAGACTATACACTTACTGTGGCAGACATGGAACTTCTATGTAATAATCTGGGAACACTGCTCTGTAATTTTATAAATATTGTATGTTATAGGTTAATGAAATAGCTTCTGCTGGGTTATTGGGCTTTACAATATGAACGTATTCATTTCAGTTAATGAGGGGCTGTTGGAAAAAGAAGCAGAAAGGCAACACAAGCTCTAGATAAGCTTACTTCCAACAAATCCTAGCAGGGAGATTACAAGATAATGACAATGTTGTTATCGGTTAAGATGCTATTTTCAGATTCCCACAATAATTCAAAGGGACATGAAACAGTTAAAAAGACTTTAGGAGGGGAGTTCTCAGCTGTTCCTGGGGAGAACAGACTTTCAGGGACATAGAAACAGGTCCTGTGGCAACATCTGAAGTAGTTGGGCCCTTCCTTAACTAGATAAGTGTATAATCTGTTTGTTTTAAGATCTTTTTCTCTGAAATGCTTTGGTTCTAAATCAATGCTTTTCAACCTGTGGACCTCTGGGGGTCCACAGACTATGTCTAAGGGAGCCACAACAGATTGTAATTACGATAGAACAGTGGTTTTCAGCTTATGGCCTGTGAGCCCCGAGGGGGTCTGCAGACAATACCTAAGATTTCCAGAGTGGTCTCCACCTCCATTTGAAATTTTTAGGGGACTGCAAGTGAAAAAAGTTTGAAAACCACTGTTCTATGTAAACAATACTTTGTTTAAAGAAGGCTATCTGATCATTGGACACCATGGTCGTAGGTCCTGGAGGGAACAGAACAACAGGGACTGAACCTAACTGAGACCTGCAGAGGTAATCCTGGTTAGTACCTGGAAACTGTAGCTCAAGGCTGGTCTAAGAGTGGAAGAATCACATGATTTCACTCCAAGAGAGGTAACAGCTCAAGGCCTGAGATTTGAGAAGGAGTGCACTCAAAGAGTATGTCTACATAGGGATAAAAGATCCACAGCATGGCCAGGTCAGCTGACTCAGACTTGGGTTTTGGGGCTAAAACTCTCTGTGCAGACATTCAGGCTCAGGCTGGAACCCAAGTACTGGGACCCTGCATCCTCACAGGGTCCCAGACATCAGGCTCTAGCCCGAACCTGAACATCTACACAGCGATTTTTCAACCCTGGAGCACAAGCCCTGTGAGCCTGAATCAGCTGACCTGGGACAGCCCATGGGTTTTTTATCCCTCTGTAGATATACTCAAAGAGACCAAGAGGGGACAGAGGTATAGTTACCTGGTAACTGTGACACTTTTGATTAGATGCTCCTTTGTCATGGATGTGCACATGCAGAGAAATATCTTGAATGCAGATGGTATCTTCAGGTTTATCACATTTTTTTGAATGATGATCTGTAAAGACATGTCACTTCCAAGTGATGGAACACAAGCACCACGATGAAAGATGAAAGCAATTGGGAATATATATCAACTTCAGATTGAAAGAAAAACAAGACCACAGATCAAGTTGGTTTAAGTTATTAAGTTTAGTTCATTTTAAATTTAACTCTTGTTATAGCATAATTTTTTTAAAATTTTTGTTTGTAAATGACAAATTTGCAATAAAACTGAACAAAATTGATAGCTAATTGGATCCTTGGCAGGTGCTTAAGAAGTCCTTGAATATATTAAGCTCTTTTACTGCTGATATTTTTAATATCCCTGTTTCTTCAGATGCAGTTGTCTTCCACAGTGTTTCAACTTGACAGTGGTAATATCAGTTTTGAAAACTTGAGCTTTCTAGGAAATATGGTGTGAATGATGAGTAGCCTTTTTGTACCCTTTGTTTCCTGTGAGAAGTTGCTAACAGTGTTTACAGCTGAATTCTAGCAACACTTCCTAATGATTTATTTGACAAATGTAATTTGTTTTTCTTTTAGCACCCATAAGTAAGCTTTTGTTCAGCTCTGTAGTGACCTGTGCATATGTAATGGCAAAGGTTTTGTGTCACTGTATATATTGTTGGACCTTTCTGTGGCATTTGATACCCGTTTAATGTCACAGTGAAACACATGTATTGGAATATCTGGCATGTTGTTCAAATAGTTAAATCCTTACCAACATATGCAGTTTTTTTTCTTCGGTGCTTCTATTTCTAGTGTTGCTAAAAACGTTTCTAGATCCATTCAAGGTTGTATCTTGGGATCTAATCTGTATTGCATTTGCATGCTTCTTTTGAAAGTACTACTGGTGTTTCTGAACTTCATCACATCACTATTGAAGCCCAGGTCAGTTTGTCCCACTTACTGTGAAAAGGTTTCTTCCTGTTTCCAAAGATAATAATCTCAGGGTCACTTTTTTTATATACCAAATTTTCCTTTGTGGATCATATTAACCATTATTGTATTTTAAAGCAGTCATTGGCAGTCTTGGAACTATTCCAGATCACCTCTCCAGCTGTCTCACATAAATACTAAGACTTTTTTGCATCTTTTTCTCATCTCCTGGCTTACAAGTCTTGCTACTTTTTCCCTCATATATTCACAGGTTGCTCAAAACTTTGCTGCCAAAACTGTTGTTGAAACAGTGATCTAATTATTTTTATTGAAATTTGTGCCAAAGTCAGTTTCAGTTGAAGTCAGTGGCAAAAATCCCCACTGACTTAAGTAGGGACAGGATTTGACCCTCAGTGTATGTAGTACGTTCTGCTGACAGTGCACTCTTTTAGGCCAATAGCTAAGTTTATATATAAGTTTAAGAATTAATTAGCATTTTACATTGCCTTCCCATAGTTAGTCTTTAATTTTATGGCTTTTTTTTGTAACTTAAAGTGCTTAGAGATGTTCACAAAAAAAGTGTTATGACAAAATCATTTGATTTATTCTTATCAAGCAAACATGAGGTAAAATATATTCCCTTGCAAATAAAACATTATGCGTGCCACTAATCCATGCAGGCATTCAAAGCATCTAGTAGAAAGCCTATGAAAGAGTCATTTTAAAATAACCTTTTTAATACTTCCTGTTTACATAGATTTCTGTTACAGTCTACAAACTCTATAGAGTAGTAACAAAAGTCAGTGACAACCATGTACATTCACATTTAAGGCTGTAGGCTGATTTTGTGCTTTTGTAGTTTTTGTAGTAATAACAAAGGTGCATACCAATCTATGAGCAGATTCAGTGCATGTGCTGCATAGTAGTAAACCATTGATCTACTTTCTTAACCATATAAATAGACTTGCAATTCTTAACACTGAAAGAAACATTCATATAGTATGCAGCATTAACAAGCCTCCATTATTGTGTAAAATCCGTGAACAAAATGGTTTCATAATATAATCTGGGAGAAATACCTCAAAACAGCCTTACACATATTTTTTCAATTTTGAGACCATAAACTGCAGCCTTCTAAAATACTAATTATCCATCTGTTTAGAGTGAGTATTTTTTTTTGACAGCTATGTAAGATCATTCATTTCTCATCATAATTATCATAGTGATGATGAGAGGAGGGTGGAGAGTGTAGATTTGGTTTCTGAGTTAGTAAATTTTTATGATTTTTTCAAGGCTGGTTTACAGCATCACTGTACATTCATGGAAGATAGTATAAGGCACACATTCTAGATCTTCACATTCCAAGGGAAGGAGATAAAATCCTTTTAAGTCCCCGAAAGAATGAACAACTGGTGCAAGTCACTAAATACTATCAATTGCTCTTAGGCATGAAAATCTCAGTGAGCTCTGAGGGTATTCAAACATACCCTTATGTCTAAGCCACCATCAGCTGCAGAAATAATACGATAGGTATTTTTACAGAAATAAAATAAATACAGCTAAAGACATTTTGAGAGCATCCACAAACAATTCATATGTTAAAACATTCATACCTACATGTAGAAAGAAACTTTCATTGTGTAATAAAAACTCATTTTTATTGAAGCAGCAAAGAATTGGATTGTAGCCTTTTGGTTAGCCATTTAGCATGACGTAGATACGTGTTGTGGACTTTTTTTTTTAATAAAGAGTTGACTCTTTGTCATGCATGAGTCTGATTACCTGGGCTATCCAGCACTTTTGTTTTTGTGTCTAGATCTTTACAGTATTTACTAAGGGAATTTCCTCAAAAAGAGGATTACAGTAGGGGGTATACTGCAACTTTTTAACCGAGTTATGAAAAAAAAGAATCATGACAATATTAATGCCATGTTCAAAGTATGGTCTTATGACATTTTAACTGGATGAGACTACTGAGTAGCTGTCAATGTCTAGCCAGATAGTATTTGGGAAAGAGAGGAGTTTCCTCAGATTCCTATCTTTGTTGCCAGGGTCTTCAGTAAATATCCTTTGTGCCTAAAAGACCTACATACTGCTTTTAAAACCTATTCCTAAACATTTTGCTGTTATAGGTTATCCAACGTGTAATCAATATTAAGAAAGTCAGCCCTTAACTGCATCTTGCAACCTGGTCTCATGTTGAATACACTATTCAACCTCAGGAGTGGGCAGGAAACATCACTTTCTCGCCATCTGGCCCATGACTGTGGAACTCTCTCCTGAATATATTAGGATGCTCAAGAACCTCAGAACCTTCATAGCAAAAGGCAAACCCACTTCTTTGACCTTGCCTTATATTTACTAAGCAAATTCTTGGCACCAGAGCCCACTGCAGTTTTATAACCTAGATCAATGGGAAGACAATTGACTATGTGCACATGACAGCTAGATGAGCATAGTATAAAAAAAACCAGACAAATTAGATAACTGTAATTCCAATGAATTGATCTACAAATCTGCACATAACTGCATTCTAGACCAGTGTGATAGACTGGGACATTGGCAGTCAGACCTAGTGGTCAGAACTGGAGTCAGGAACTGAGCCAAAGGTCAGAGCCAGAAATCAAGCAAGAGTCAGAAATGGACATCTCTTCCAACTGGGAGCTTTGTGGGCTGGGCCTGTGGTGAGCTAGGGTCCACCCACCAGCCCACACTCCCTGATGGTACCAGTGAGCTGCCGGGTGGTGGATAGTGGTCT